GCACGCGAGCATCAGGCTGCAGCGGGAAGGGGCGCAGGCTGAGCGTGGCCACAGGCTCAGCCCACGGTCCCCTCCCTGCTTCCCACCCGAGAAGGGGGACCTGACGCCAGTGGGAGCGCCAGGCAGACACCCGGCTCCCTGCCGGTACAGGAACGAGGGGACGAAGGCATTAGCCGTGGGCGCTGCCCCCTCTCCTGTGGGGTGCGCCTCACCGAGCCCCTCTCTCCTGTGGCGTGCTCCTCACCACCACCCTCTCTCCTGTGGGGTGCGCCCCCTCTCCTGTGGGGTGCGCCTCACCGCGCCTGCTGCTAAAGGAACCGCTCGGGCAAAGCCCAGGAACACGCGCCTGGGAGCCGTCGGCGCGTCCTCCCCGCACTCGCCTGTCCTTGCCGCTGCCGTTCCTCAGGTTCACGTCGGTGCCGTAAGAAATGAGGATTTTCACGAGCCTAAAGGAAACGCATGCAAACACGGCTGGACAAGCAGCCGCGATGGGCAGGGACCCAGGGCCGGGCATCCGGTCAGAACGCACCGGGAGATGCGAGGCGCCGCCCACAGCGCCTCCCTCCCAGCTCAGAGGCAGGCTGGCCTCGGAGACCCGCATCACTAACCAGAAACCAGAACACTACCTGTCCCCACACACCCCCCCAAAAAAGGGGGGTACCCTTTCCAGGAATTATTCATTGAAAGCAAACTATGCCTTGTCATCGGAACCATCAAACTAGAGCTCGTTGTCACTTTAATGACCAATTAAATATCTGTTAAAGTGGCAGCACTTCATGAAAACTAAGTTCTATTTTGAAAAAATGGGTCATAGTTAAAATATAAATATGATTGAAAAACAAGCTGTTGGATTTAAGTCTCTCCGTGTGGAATAGAGAGGATGACGTGGGTCACTGAGAATTAGGTCTTAGCAACCCACCGGGGAAGTGTGTTTTCCAGAATTAATATCCTTCCTCCCTTTTTTCAAAAAAAGAAATTTAAATTCCAACGACCAGTTTTCCAGGATATGGGAAGTGTGGCTCAATGGCGACCTCTCTCCCTCACCGTGTGCTTACGCACCTGCAGCCCCTCTGGCTGCTGTGTAACTTCAACAGCCCAGTGAGTGTTGGGTGCAGTTTGGAAAGAAAGTGGGGTTCCTCCCCACCCTCACCCCTCCTGCCCCAGCCTGGCTGCAGCCTTTGGAAAAGGCTCCACCCATCACTGCAGGTAGGAGAGGAGGCCCTGCCCATCACTGCAGGTAGGAGAGGAGGCCCGCCCATCACTGCAGGTAGGAGAGGAGGCCCGCCCATCATTACAGGTGGGAGAGGGAGGCCCCGCCCATCACTCCAGGTAGGAGAGGAGGCCCCGCCCATCACTCCAGGTAGGAGAGGAGGCCCCGCCCATCACTCCAGGTAGGAGAGGAGGCCCCGCCCATCACTCCAGGTAGGAGAGGAGGCCCCGCCCATCACTCCAGGTAGGAGAGGAGGCCCCGCCCATCACTCCAGGTAGGAGAGGAGGCCCCGCCCATCACTCCAGGTAGGAGAGGAGGCCCCGCCCATCACTCCAGGTAGGAGAGGAGGCCCCGCCCATCACTCCAGGTAGGAGAGGAGGCCCCGCCCATCACTCCAGGTAGGAGAGGAGGCCCCGCCCATCACTCCAGGTAGGAGAGGAGGCCCCGCCCATCACTCCAGGGAGAGGAGGCCCCATCACTGCAGGTAGGAGAGGAGGCCCCGCCCATCACTGCAGGTGGGAGAGGAGGCCCGCCCATCATTACAGGTAGAAGAGGAGGCCCGCCCATCACTGCAGGTGGGAGAGGAGGCCCTGCCCATCACTGCAGGTAGGAGAGGAGGCCCGCCCATCACTGCAGGTAGGAGAGGAGGCCCCGCCCATCACTCCAGGTAGGAGAGGAGGCCCGCCCATCGTTACAGGTGGGAGAGGAGGCCCGCCCATCACTGCAGATAGGAGAGGAGGCCCCGCCCATCATTACAGGTGGGAGAGGAGGCCCCGCCCATCGTTACAGGTGGGAGAGGAGGCCTGCCCATCACTGCAGGTAGGAGAGGAGGCCCGCCCACCTGGTGTACCCCTTCTGTGCAGCCACCATCAGCGCCGTGAAGCCCAGCCTGTTGGGAACGTCCACCTTCACGGTGCTGGGGAACAGAGAGGAGAGGTCAGACCTGCAGCTGACGTCCCTCTGGCCCAGGCGGCTGAAACAGTTCATTTCACCGAGAATCCCAATTGCTTCCGGGCCACTCGCTTTTGTCGCCTTAGACTGCCCTGCCGAGCACATTCAAATACACAGGAAAGGGGAGAAAACTGCTGTAGTTTCACTTCAAGCAGGCGCTCCCTTCAACTCGAAACATCCCCCGAGCTGATGAGACTATGGAGAACACAGCCCCTCAAATGACAGGGGGTCTCACCGGGGACTCGCAGCTCCAGGGCCGGGAACCCCACTGGGGGCGCCCGCTTTGCCCTGGTTCCCATGGCGCCACCCGCAGGCAGGGCTGCTGCGGAGGAAGAAAGTGGCCCCTTCACACCAGCTTAGCGCTTGGACTTTTGTGGGAACCTTCTCTTCCCCAGAGGACAGAGCCGCTGGTTCCAGAAGGATCCTTCCTCCTCGCCGGATAGAGGAGGAACGCTTACCTTTCGCAGCAGCATGGCGGGACCTGGAGGACATTGCTAAGTGAACTAAGCCAGCAGACAAGGACAAGCCCCTGTGATGTCACTTACGTGTGGAATCTAATGAACAAAATAAGCCAAACCGAGTAGGAACAGACTCACAGATAAGAGAACAGGCTGACAGC